TTAAAAGTGTTAGAACTGTTATTTCTTCTTGTAGTCTACACTGAAATGGAGCAAAGGAAAATGGTCTATGTAGTTCCATCTGTCTTTTTTTTAGCTATAGACACATCAAGAATCTCGGCCTTCCGGTCATTGCTCAATGCTGGGAAGGATTTTCCAAAAAAGTGAGCATCAAACCATCATGTTTGTTTTCCCAGTGGGATGAGTCTATTGACAAAGCCAATCTTTTCAAGTCTTTTGAACCATATCACTTTTGTTTCTGGTTCTGATATTGTCATATTTTAGTTTTGGGATTCGGACATCGCTAATTGTGTGGTTGTTGGATCCTAACAGTGGAAAACGGCTTGAGAAATTTGTTTGCGAACTCCATAGATGCAAAAGGGAATCAGATCTGTGTGACTGCAAACCTCCGTTCAAACTGTTTCCCTTCCTAACGGAATTGAAAAATAGTGAAAGGCGAAGGCGATGGGCAGGATTGATACATGGGAAGGACGAAAAAGGAAACCTTTGACTGCCTAAATCATCCTGAGTTTGCGGCGAACATTTTGTATGTGGAGCGCCATCAAAGCAAAACCCCGATCCCTCATTCAGCCTTGGTTACGAATTTAAAAAGTCAACGCCAAAGCGAAAGGCACCAGCTGTTCGCCAAGAAACACCTTCCACTGCAAAGAGACCAAGACTTAATGTTGCTGTAAAACTACAAGAACAAGAAAGTGCAAGCTCAGCCTGCTTGTCTTCTATACCTCTCGCTTAACAAACGGGATCCCGCTTTGATGGCGCTCCACATACAAAATGTTAACTGCAAACCGGTGAAAAGATCATCAGATCATCCCAGCCATCCATTTAGGTAAACATCCTGCTGCAAGAGAGAGCTATCAACACCATCAAGAACACCACCCACCCAGCACACAATCTGTTCTTCCTCCTACCATCCAGCAAACATTATCACTGCATGTGGTGCAACACAACCAGACTAAGCAAAAGCTTCTCCCCACAGACCATCAGGCTAATCAACGCACTCAAGAAATTTCCATGAACATGTTGACCACTACATCCAAAACAACTTAATACATTCCTATATCCACGCTGCTATTTCAGCACTGTGCACTCACTTTACTCACTTACTTACCAAAAATAGCTACCTCATTTCTTTTCTTAATGGAAATGCATATGTTCTTTATCTGTCTGCCTGTATATTTTAGTGTTTATTTTATTTGTTATTGATGTCTGTGTACATTTGAGTTCATTGACTGATAAACTTTGGCTTTGTTTACACAATCATTGCTAGGTAGCAGTTTTTCGAGTTTTGAGATGAGGTAGTTGTATTCTGTTTTTATACTCATCACTACTTCCTGTACTTTCACACCTTCTTCTCAACTTTTCTTCTATAAACAGGTGCTGGATGAAATACTTAATCTTATTACTTCGGTAAAAGTACAGATACAGGGGCAAAAAGTTACTCAAGTAAAAGTAAAAGTATCACATGAAAAAAGCAACTTACCTGTTTAAAAATGTACTTAAAGAGTAAAAAGATCACATCATACGTCTATCACACTTATTAATTATAACACTTATTCACAATAATTTTCTCCGTGAATGGGGTTGCCTCTACACAGATCTGACCCGTAACATAATTTATAGTTGTCTCCCTTGAGGTAGACAGGTTTGGAACATTCTAGACAAAGGAATAACATCACCATCTAGAAAAGCATTCGAAGGACCCTCCACCAGAAAAGTTACACCTTTAAAGAAAAAAAAAAAGTGTCAAAAATGAATGTGAAATTCTCTTCAAAAGAGTCAAAAGATGGACCTATGATGTATTTTGCACGGTATTGCCATGGCGATGAAGCATGTTGGTGTTTGCAATGTGTGCTGACCGTTCTTGTGTGTTTAATGATACAGTGATGGAACTTTGGTCTCCACTTGAGCTGAGCCCACTTCAGTTTTCTATTGTGAATGTTCCCTTAGTCTGATTAGTGAAGTACAGCCCAAAGCTGCTGTAAGTTGCATTTCCAAGCAGGTGATTCCAAACAACATAAGACATACACACAAACTTCCAGCCAAGCTTCTGACCAAACTAAAGATGTACTGTGTAACTTTTCGGAAAGAATGTATGACACCTGCTTCACAGGCAAACTTACAATTTAAAGGGACAGTCCGGAATTTTGGACACAGGACCTCATTTCTTTGTTATCCAGAGTGTTGGAGATGTGTGGAGACACTTTTTAAAATATTCCATCCAGTCCTTGTATTTGCAGAGGTCACTGGTGCTAGGCTAGTGCATGTCAATGGCCATAGTTATCCTGCCACTAAAAACAGTCTTACCCACTCCACAAAACACACAAAGCAAATCTTCTATTATTACACCAGACGGTCGATGTAAATGTCTGTGTCGATAGAATAATTAGTGCTGTCAAAATTGAGAGATTAATTAATTATGATCTGTAATTAATTAATCTAATTAATCTCATTTTAATCTCACCTAAAAATTGCTGAGAAAAGCCTTCAATTTGAGGTATTTTCATTTAAATTCATTATTACATTATTGTGGCAGATCAAAAGACTGATATAGATTAAAAAAAAGTGACTTTATAAAGTCATTTATTGTTTAACAAATCTCTCCAAATTGGCTGTTGAGCCCAAGTCTCCATGAATAAGAAACTGTTTGTTGTAAAGTAGCAAAGACGAGGAAATCTGAACATAATAACTTTTGTCGACTTAAAGACAATAAAAAGTCCAGTCTTTCCTTAACCATATTAAAAATATTATTGATAGAGAAATGCTTTATATATGAGATCACTGGTTTTAGTTCTTGTTTAGACCTGGTTTAGACCTACTTTAGTCCTAGTTTAGTCCTGGAATGGATTAATCCTGGTTTTAGTCCTGGTGTTAGTTCTGGTTTAGTTCTGGTTTAGACCTGGTTTAGTCCTGGTGTTTAGTCCTGGTTTAGACCTGGTTTAGACCTGGTTTAGACCTGGTTTAAACCTGGTTTAGTCCTGGTTTAGTCCTGGTTTAGACCTGGTTTTAGTTCTGGTTTTAGTTCTGGTTTAGTCCTGGTTTAGACCTGGTTTAGACCTGGTTTTAGTTCTGGTTTTAGTTCTGGTTTAGTCCTGGTTTAGTCCTGGTTTAGACCTGGTTTAGTCCTGGTTTTAGTCTTGGTGTTAGTTCTGGTTTAGAGGCGCACAGGAGGAAGCGCGGTTTACGCCGCGTACGCGAGAAAACACGATCCACACGCGGCTCACGGGAGCACGTCGGTGTCCGCGCAGTGTCTACGGAAGGAAACGTGGTCCACACGTTCTCAGGTTAATGACGATGATGAAGGTGTGTGTTTGTGTTGTGTGTTTGTGTGTGTTGTGTGTGTTGTGTTTGTGTGTGTTTGTGTTTGTTTGTGTGTTTGTGTGTGTTTGTGTTTGTGTGTGTTTGTGTGTGTTTGTGTGTGTGTTTGTGTGTGTGTGTTTGTTTGTTGTGTGTGTGTGTGTTTGTGTGTGTTTGTTTTGTGTGTTTGTGTGTGTTTGTGTTTGTTTGTGTTTGTGTGTGTGTTTGTGTGTGTTTGTGTGCGTGTCCCCTCATGTGGCAGGTCACTATAGGACAGTAGTGCAGACATCATGAGTCTATGCAGGTTGTTTTCAGGCGATATTATATTTGTTATTTTCTTTTATATTTCACGTCGGGAGAATAATTTCCAAGACACGAATGTGTTTTTACCTGTGCACTGCTGCTCTGTTCTACTGGCTCTTCCACCTCGTCCATTGTGCGACTGACGCCGCCAACGTTAATATGACGTTTACATCGCTGTTACTGTGCACGTTTTTTGTGTGGCTTTCCGGCAATGAGTGGAAATACCGAAATAAAAAAATGTATAAATGTGTTTTGTGTGTGTGTGTGTGTTGTTGTCCCAACAACACATAAAAACAGGTTTTATAATAAAGAAACTCACATACAGAAACACTAAAGTTAGAGATTAAAAATGAGATTAACGCGATTAAAAAACATAACGCGCTAAATATGACTGTAATTAATTAATCGCAATTAACGCGATAATTTGACACCCCTAAGAATAATGTTTGAAATAAAACTAACCTTTCATCGCATGAATCATCGCATGTTGAGGGACTATTTCCTCAGCAGCAGCGGAATGTTACTTTGCTGGTAAGATAGGAGCTAATTTATATCAGTCCGCCGCTGCCAAGCTTTCCATCATGAAGTACAACTCACTGCTGCTGCTCAGACATAAATTATTCAAATGCAAGGTTTAAATTGACAGTCTGGTTAATAAAAGATAAATAAAAGATTTGCTTCGGGTGTTTTGTGGAGTGGGTAAGACTGTTTTTAGTGGCAGGAAAACTATGGCCATTGACATGCACTAGCCTAACACTAGCGACCTCTGCAAATACAAGGACTGGATGGAATATTTTAAAAAGTGTTTCCACACATCTCCAACACTCTGACTCACTAGGAAATGTGGGCCTTTGTCCAAAATTCCGCACTGTCCCTTTAATAATTTAAAGGGCCCATATAACGTTCTATGTTATAATGTTGTTTCCTCATCACAAACATACCTGGAGTTGTATAAAAAACACAGAGGAAGTGAGAGTTTCAGGGTATCTTTGTAGAAGTGTGCTCTTCAAGAATGAGAATCAAAAGCTAACAGATAGTGAAGATGACCAAACTTGTACTGTAAAAACTTACTGTGATAAAGTAAAAAGCGGTCAAAAAGTCCGAGGGACTGTTGGGATTAGAATATCACAGTAAGTTTTTACATTGCAAGCTTAATCATCTTCATTATATAATGCCTGGACTTGTGTTTGTTTTCATTCACACACGTTTAACACACAAACCCTGCATATTTAGGCTGAGTTCTTCTCTCAAACAGAAATCACACATATACAGGAAATGCTCCACTGTGTTTTTAAACTCCATACACCTTTGCCAGAATAATTTATATAACCCTACACCAGAAAAGTTGCGCAATGCACCTTTAAAATTATGAAACACTGTTTTACCTTTCACGTTGACATTGTACATGACAGAGTCTGGGATCTTGTACCACACGTCCACCACGCTGGCTGAGTGGATGAACACGTCAACCCCACGAGAAGCTTCCAGGACCTGGGTGTAGTCTGTGATGTCCCCCTGGATCACCACCACCTTCGTGTGCTCTAAAACAGAAACACGGGAATGTTAAAGGTGCACTGCGTAACATTTCTAGTGGAGGGTCTGCCACCAGTTTGAGTCCAAGGAGATGTTATTGCTTTGTCTGGAATGTTCCACAGTATAGATTATCGGTAAATCTATCTACGACAAGGGAGATAAGTAGGTTACAAGTTCGAGTCGCTCCTATTCACAGAAAGAATTTATATATTTTTGAGCAATAGAAACACCTGTAATAAATAAATGCTAGATGTATATGTTTAAACACATACTATGGAACATTTCAGGCAAAGCAATAACATCTCCATGGAGACAAGTAGGTAGTTAAAATCATTTCAAATATACTGATCAAAAAAATTAAAGGCACAGTTTGAAAACACATCAGACCTCAGTGTGAAAAAAGCTGAATATCTATACAAATATCCAAACCTATGATCCACAAATGTTGAACCTTATTATTAGTTTGAGATCGGCTCCACTAACTTTTCATCTTAATCTCGTGTCTTAAAGTCTTTTCTGTTGACAGCGATCACATCTTTGAAGTTGAGAAATTAAACAATTTTCTGAAGCTATTGTGAAAAAAATTAATGTTTATTTATGCAGACAGAACACACTGTTCTCTGCGCCAGTTTTTTTTTAATTTTTTATTAAATTACAGAGATGTTAACCATAAACAAAAAATAAACAATGGAAACAAAATTTAACCATTAAAGGTGCATTGTGTAACTTTTCTGGTGGAGGATCTGTCACCTGCTTGTCTCTATGAATAGGTCATTGCATTAAACAGCTCTATCATACATTTATTGAATTGCAGATGGTTTTATAGCTCAAAAATACCTAGAAAAACAGGCATTCTGACTGTGAGCGGGGTCGCCTCTCCACAGATCTGACTTGTAACTTGGTCTGGTTTGGTATCCATGAAGTTAGAACAGTGTAATACCATATTGTGAAACATTCCAGACAAAGCAATAACATCTCCATGGAGAAAAGCATCCGGCAGACCCTCCAACCGAAAAAAAGTTACACAACGCACCTTTAAATTAAAATCAAATTGCCATTGTTATTGTTGATATAAACTGAAAAATTCATAAAACTGTTCCTAGTTTGGTCCAGATTTAATGAGTTTTTTTTACCTTTTTGTTTATCTTAATTAAATTCTTTGTTATTGTTATATGTGATGTGTGAGCTACTGTGTCCAAGTAATTTCCCTTGTGGATCAATAAAGTTTGTTTAAGTCTAAGTCCCCGTTTTGAAGTGGTGTGTGCTGATTATTGCTCCAAAGCTCATTCCTCATTTTAAGACAAATACGCATTTCCTTTTCTAACAGGAGTAAAATGGCACAGTCAAAGGAACACCTGAGTGTAACTTGAAAGCTTCTTTCAGATCCAAGTTAAGGCCAAGGTCACTGTTATCTCAATGATTAAAGTGTTCAAGGCTGTTCTTAGTGCAACATATTACAACATGTTAAACTGACTCAGAGATAATAATACTAATGAAAAGGACTTTGAACACTCATTGGGTGAGAAGTCGACAGTTATAACTTGAGTAGCCTTTTGCCTACATTGAACAATAATGCTCTATACACACACACACACACACACACAATATACGTTTTTAAGAAGACATATTGTGCTGATGTCTGCTCTATTGTTATAATCTATGGCACCTGTGGATCACTGTGTTAGAATTTACACATTTGAAATTATATATTATTATACATGAATCTAAAACAACTTACGAAATAATACATAGTAAATAGCATTATTATAAGGCTGGGGGGCCTATGCAGACATACACTGTTTTCACTGAAATATTAAAACTTGGTCATTATTTGTTAGATTCTCTCCGCAATCATTCTAAAAAGATGTCCTCGGCCTTGGTGGGGCTCGCATCTCCACAAACCTGAGTCTTATTCCTTTAATTTATTTCCATGAAAATGTTGTTCTTTTGTTTATAATATTCCACTGTATGGCATAAAACTCATCTATCTCCATAGAGAATGCTTCAATGCTACTTTCCATCTCAATGGAATCATACAGGTGATGCAAGCCACCCTGCACACAATCGGTCCAGCCTTCTGCCCTCTGGGAGGAGGTACAGGAGCTTCCATTCCTGCACCACCAGACTCACTAACAGCTCCATCCACCAAGCTGTTAGGATGCTGAACTCTCCTCTTGGTAATGACCAGGAGGCCAGGAAACTAGGACTCTGCTTCTCCCTAAGAACAGAACTCCCCAAAAGAACACTTGAACTCAGAGCCCCCCTGACTCCCTCTTGTGCCTTGCACTATATGCCTTTTGCACTATTTACATTTATTATTTATTTATATGCATGCGAGTGAGACACACAATTTTGATTCTTTGTGTTTTTCGCATCAAGAATTGATAATAAACTTTTTGAACTTTTTTAACTTTAACTTTGGACATGACATCTCCAGGAAGTTTTTTTTTTTTTTTAAATGAACAATAGAAAGAGTCTTGTCCAAAAAATGTTACATAAGTAATTATGTGTATTTGAGCTCATATATGAGAAGTGTATCCCAGGTTTTTGGTCTAAACAGGAGTCTGAATAGCCCTGGTGAATGGAGCCAGTGTGAGCCTGGGTCCAGTTACAGTGCACTCAGATCTTACTGCGTCACTGCTTCTGCATAATAAACAATGGAAAAGGTGCTTTTGTAAAGCCGGGAGCAGCAGCAGACCTCAGAGAGGACCAAGAGCACACAGGCAAAATGTCAGATACCGTCACTGTTACTGGATGTGGCTTTTAGTTACTATTTCCCTGTCTACTGCCGGGGGCTGGCTCATTAAATAAAAACCTCAAATACTTTCTTTATGTCTGTCTGAGTCTTGTGAATGTGTGAATGTGGTGTGTGTGTGTAAGTATTGGTAGTTTTCAGAGGGCTGATGGCACAGAGTGACAGCGTCACTTCTGGATCTGTCCCAGGGCATCTGTGGCAGTACATACAGAGCTCAGCATAAATGAGTACATCTTCTTTGAAAAGTAATTTTTTTTACAATATGTCAATGAGCACAAAAAATATTTGCTAAATGTACACAGACAAGTTTAATACAGAATCTGTTGAACTTGTTGAAGGACAAAAAACTGAGGTTAATAATATAAATTAAATAATAATTAATAATTTTCAGTTTTAGTCAAATTAGAGTGGTGCAAAAATGAATACACCGCACTGAAAGTCTCAGAGCAAGGCTATATTTTAGGCTCCAAATGTGGAATTGGTGAAGCATTCAACCACAGGGGAGCCTAATGACTCATTCATCAGGTGTCCATCAGACAGTTGGCTACAAATGGGTTCCCATTATTATTATTAATTATTTCTTTACACCAGAAAGGTGAAGGCTACAAGAAGATCAGCAAAGCCTTACTTATTAGTAAAAATACTGTTGCAATAGTGGTTCAAAAATTTAAGAAAGACTGAAATGCAACCATCTCACAGAGACGACCAGGTTGGCCACGGAAGTTAACACCTCAACAGGAGCATTTCCTGATGAGAAGGGCTGAAGGAAATCAGAATGCAAGTTCCCTGCAATTGTCTAAGGAAATAGAAAGCCAAACTGGGGTGTTTCCTGTGACACAATCTGCCCTAGAGTGAGGAAGAATAGCATGCATGGGTGTTGTCCTCGAAAGAAGCCTCTACTAAAGCCCAGTCACAAAAAAGCCCACCTAGAGTTTCCCAGGCCATGCTGACAAAGATCAAGGCTACTGGGACTCTATAATCTGCAGTGATGAATCTTTTTAGAACTGGTGGCTTCAAAACTATATGGTGTTGAAAAGGTGAGGAATACAAAGAAAAGTGCATGGTGCCTACAGTGAAACATGGAGGGGGAGTGTCCTTATGTGGGGTTACATGAGCGCTGCTGGTGTTGGGAAGCTGCACTTCATTGTCAGCATCATCAGTCCAGAAATGTATTGCTCTATAGTGACAACGAACATGCTTCCATCACTTTGCGCCATGGGCCTTCGTGCACTTTTCCAACATGACAATGACCCTAAGCAAACATCTTTAAGGACTCTACTGGCTTTCTGAAGAGTGAGACTGATTCCGTGGCCGAGTATGGCACTATATAGGCTATAAAAGGATGTACATTTTTAGATGTGTCCTCTGAAGCTTGTGGCATTTTTCATTTTTGTGTAGGATCAGATGAGAAAAAAAAGTCACACTTAGATCCCTAAGGACACTTAATAAAATTAGTAAAACAACATAGATTAATATTTTTCACTTTTTTTTTTGACTAAATCCAATGATCTTTCCCTGCTCGAATCAAAAATATCAAATTTATAAAAATAATTGCCAGTTCTGAAAACCTTAATTTCACATGTAGTGGAAAAAAAGACCTCTTAAATTGAGATATCTTCCAGAAAACAGAAGGCAGGTTATAATGGGGTTCATTTGTATATGCGTCGTAGGAAGCTACAAATTTTTTTAAAAATTCGTAAGTTTGTGATATTTTTAGTTTTTGTGTAGGATCAGTTAAAATCAGTTCTGAAGCTGCCCTTTGTATTGCTTATAATGGGGCCTTAAGAAAACCCTGCAAAAACCCTTTGTTTGGAATGTTTCACAGTACCTTTCTATAACCATGGAGACCAAACCAGACCAAGTTAGATCTGTGGAGAGGCGACCCGCTCACAGTCAGAATGCCTGTTTTTCTAAACATTTTTGAGCTATAAAACCAGCTGTAATAGAATAAATGTAACATAATGTCATACTGTGGAACATTCCAATCAGAGCAATGACATATTCGTAGAACAAACAAAAAGTTACACAGTGCATCTTTAACAAGCAAGTATCCATTCATTCTACTGTTACACCGTGCAACTACACGACTCGTGCGTGGCTTACATACATTAGGTTAAGGGCAAAGTACGAGCTCAGCAAGTCATTGAACTATTTACCTCTTCTTCCTGATAAAACTTACACAGTTAACCCAGAGAAGACTTCACTTTCTCAGCTGCGCTTTTTACCTGTGCTCTCCTTCTCCATGCCGGGGTCCGTGTGTTTATCGAAAACCCGAATCTCCGACACGCTCTCCCGTTCTTGCTCCAGTAAAACCCGCACTATGTGTTTGCCCAGGAAGCCGCAGCCCCCGGTGATGAGGTAAACGAGCCCCCGCTGCTCTCCTGACATGTTACCGGGTAGTGGAGCTGAAGGTAGCGGGGAGAGGCTTCAGCGCGCCTGTTGAGTCTGGGTAGAGACTGTGCGGTCCATAGGCGCACGGGGGGGATTTAAACCACGGGAGGGGCCATAGGTTCCGTCGCCTCTGATTGGTCCATTTCATACAGAACACGCGTTTATAAAGCTTACGACAGCGAGTTAAACATACAAACAATCATCTACTCGAAAGACGCAATAATACGCACACGAGTGGCTGGGGCGCAGTTACATTTACTTCAGTTATTAAAGTAAATTCAACTTTATTTTTTGTTATTTTATTTTTTTTCCAGAGTACTTTTCTGGCAGCATAGCGTACTTTTACAACTTAAACATTTTAACAGTAGGCTTATGATAACACGGTGGCGGCCGGTCAATAGAGGGCGCTCGACCTGGATAAAAATGAATAAAGTCCTTATTTTGTATGAGGCTATTCACCTTGTTTCGACCTGGCCACTTTTGGTGCAGTGTTGTGGTGACACGTACGTTAAACAGGAATCCCATTCATGTCTATGGTGAATTTGAGACAAGTTTAGCAGATTAAATATGATTAAATATGTAATATAGGTTCATTTGTGTAAAATGTTCAGTGTTCATGGGCACCACAAATCACACTGCCCTGGTTCTCTGGAAGATGTTTAAAAGCTTTATAGTCTGTATTACACTTACTTGGTGTCAAGATGAGCAGCCCCTGAAAATATCCTAATGATGATGTGGCGCCCACGACAACATCCGGATAAGATAGATAAGATAAATATGTTTGCTGTTGGAGCTGGTTGTCGTGTGGTGGATCAGGTTGTGCTACTGTGTAAATATTCCTTTTGACTGGATGTTGCGTTCTGTGACAAAATGACTGATCAAAAGGTTGGTGGTCCGAATCCCGCTCTTTATGTAAACATCATTGGTTGAGCAGTCAGATCCACTGACCCACAGGTTGGCAGTGTGTTTTCAGCTCCCACAGATGAATGCTGTCATTGTGTCCTTGGGCAGGACACTTCTTGCCCCTAGTGTCTGCCTACACTGGTGTGTGACTAGCGAGTGGTTCTTTGATGTAGAGTGCTTTGAGTGCCTTGAAGGTGAAAAAGCTCTATATAAAAAAAATTTGGCCTTTTACTATTTATAATTTTTTTGGAGGGGTTGCGGAGTGTAGCCCAAAGTTATACATATATATTATGTATTATATATAGGCCAAGGCCTTGGTCTATGTACAATGTAAGGAACAGATTGTCTCCTTAATTTAAACTTGTCCACATTTAAATTCATGCCCTTCTGTCTGTATCTCTTTACAAAAGGTATCAAGCTCTCTGAAATGTTTTGTACAAATAGAGAATAAGAGAGGAGGAGGTGTGGCATTATATATTGATAGAAACTTGAATGTCATAATGTAGAAAGTATTTCTAACGGTGGATGAAGTATTTGAATGTGTAACTGTAGAAATGACACTGCAAAAAAGGAAAAATTATTGTATTGATCTGACATGGATTTATTTTGGGAATAGATGAAAAAGTTAATAGACTACAAAGGACGTTATAAGAATATAACATTGATTTATTAAAAAAACATAAATGCATGGGGAAATTTATCAATACAATGTTCATCATGGGCTCATCTCCACTAATAAGCAGACTGCGAGGGAGCTGTAGCTGTAGATAACACCCTGATTCATCAGGTGATTCATGGAAGTATTGATTTGGAGGTGCGGGCCGGGTGCACATCATCGCCCTGATTTATACTCTGTCAAGTGCTGCTTAGGGAGAGGAGCTTTATCTGCAGAAATGTGTTTTTTTTAATAACTATCTATCCATATATGAAATAATATGTAGAAGTTGATCTTTCTAAACTAACCATGCTATATAATCGGGATTTTGTTTCACTGTGCTTTGTTGCTCTGTCCTGGGGAGATCTGCTGTCAGATCTGCTAATGGTGTGGCCAATTAAAAAGTGAAGAGCTCAAAGTTTCTTTTATTATTTTTTTTATTTTTTTGACTTCTCAGATGCTATGGCTTTCCTAGTAAGAGGTCAAGTTACATCTATAATCTTACACTAACACCAACTAGAATAACAAAACACAGTGCTACCGTAATAATGTTCTGCTGTGCTCTAATGTTCTGGGCAGCAACATAGTCTTCATGGTGTATTAACCAAAGATGTTAAAGGGACAGTTCAGAATTTTAGACATAGACCTCATTTCCTAGTGAGCCAGAGTGTTGGAGACATGTGGAGACACTTTTTGAAATATTCCATCTATTCGTTGTATTTGCAGAGGTCACTGGTGCTAGGCTAGTGCATGTCAATGGCCATAGTTAGCCTGCCACTAAAAACAGTCTTACCCACTCCACAAAACACCCGAAGCAAAACTATTATTACACCAGACTGTCGATGTGAATGTCTGTGTTGATAGAATAATTTCAGAAGTAAAGCCAACGTTGCATTTGAAGAATTTGTGTCTAGCAGCAGTAGCGAGTTGTACTTCCTGATAGAAAACTTGGCAGTGGCGGACTCATATATGAGAAAATAGTCCTTCAACATGCGGCGAATAATGCGATGGAAGTTTAGTTTTATTTCAAACATTATTCCATCAACATAGACATTTACACTGGCCGTCTGATGTAATAATAGATTTGCTTCGGGTGTTTTGTGGAGTGGATAAGACTGTTTTTAGTGGCAGGAAAACTGTGGCCATTGACATGCACTAACCTAGCACCAGCAGCGTCTGCAAATACAAGGACTGGGTGGATTTTTTTTTTAAAGTGTCTCCACATGTCTCCAACACTCTCACTTTATTTCAACATTGAAATGCTCATCATAACTACAAGCTTAGAGGTAATTAAATAAAAAATTGAAAACTTAGAACTACTTTAAAGTCAATGTGCATTTTGCAATGCAGAGTTAATCTGTGTAATTATTATCAGAAGGGGCGGCAGTAGCTCAGCTGGTAGAGCATTCGCCCACTGATCTGAAGGTTGGTGGTTCGATTCCCACAGATGAATGCTGTCATTGTGTCCTTGGGCAAGACACTTAACCCACCTTGCCCACAGTGTCTGCGTACCCTGCTGTGTGAATGGGTGAGTGGTTCCTTGTTGTAAAGTGCTTTGAGTGCCTTGAAGGTGGAAAAGCGCTATAGAAAAATGTCAACATTTACCATGACCAAGTGGTAAAAGTGTGTAGGTCCAGTTTAAAAAGGATATCAGGGGATATGTGTCATATTCTGCTTCCAAATAAAGACTGCACAAACACAACATATCCTGTTTTTCACTCATAGTTATATTTAATATCACCGTTCACTAGTTGGTCATACAGATAACTGAGACAAAGTGACTAATCTCCTCTGTTTGCAGGCTGCTGTTTGCAGGCTGCTGCTTCATCGAAAACCACATGTGAGCGAGGAGGAGGAGCCTGGAGTTTATGTAAAAGGTACTTCTGACACACATGAACATACAGTATATTAGTGTTCAAAGAAACGGATTAATTGTGGTGGAATGTATAACTGTTATATGGATCTATATTTCTAATAAACAAAAATGTATTGTTTCTAAAATAGTGTGTATAAAGGAGTTTTATTTTGAAAAGCACCACAGATAAATACATACTTCAATCCTCAAGGAAAGTCTTTAACAGTAAATAAGATGTAAAATCACCAAGAGCAGTGGGTCATAAAAATAAAAATGGTAAAATACTGTACCCCTGTACAATAAGAAGCAGCTTCCCACAAATACAGTATGTGGCTTTCTCCAGGCTCATTTTGCTGCCAGCTCTCATACTATTTGCCTTTATAATAAATACAATAATATAACAAATAAAATGACAATTCTTCTGGTCATTATTTATTGCACAGTGTTGGGGACAGATTACATGTACTGGAGTTATGTGATCAGAGTACAAATTATGAGTAACTGTATTCAGTTACAGTTACTGTTTCAGTGAGTGGTAATTGGATTACAGTTACTTTGTTGAAATAAATGGATTACACGGCGGTATTTTCCTGTTTTCACATTTTGGGCTATGTCCCCCCTTTTTTTTTTTAGATAATTTCATTGCTGGAAACTAAACCAGGTCTAAACCAGGTATAAACCAGGTCTAAACCAGGTCTAAACCAGGTCTAAACTAGGACTAAGCCAGGACTAAGCCAGGTCTAAGCCAGGTCTAAACCAGGTCTAAACCAGGTCTACACCAGGACTAAACCAGGTCTAAACCTGGATTAAAACAGGATTTAACAGGACTAAACCATGCTGCATGGACGTGTCTCCTTCTCTTCTATCAATAATATATTTAATTTGGTTGAGTAAAGTCTGGACTTTTTTATTTTCTTTTATCAGACAAAACAGCTTAGTCTTTGCTTCTCTACAGCAAATCAAGTAATCCAAAGTATTCAGATTACATTACTCACTTTAAATAATTTAATGGATTATGTTACAAACTACATTTTGGGGTACACAATACATTTTAAAGTAACCTTCCCACCACTGTTATTGCATAAGTGATTAACCCTGAGCTTTCAAATGTTCCTTTTTTTTTTTTTTTTTTTTTTTTTTTTTTTTTTAAGTGTATGAGGGGGAAAAAAGAGAAAACTTTACTTCTGGATCTGGGGAGTAGGCAGTCACTGTTGAGCTACATGTCCATCACTCTGAAGGCGTTCCTGTGTTAAAAGAATGAAAAGAGAGAATGGAAAAGTCCTGTTTAAACTATGGCCAGACTGACTCACCACAGCAACACCAGTGTAAACAACTCCACACAATATTTCCCCTAACTTTGTAGAAGTAGAAGTAGAAAGTAGTGGTCCAAGAAATTACTCAAGTAAGAGTTAAAAAGTATTTGGGAAAAGTACTCCGCAAGTAGGCGTAACACCTGACTAATAATTTAGAGTTTGTAATTTGAAGGACAAAACATTAGGCTACATAAAGCACAAATTAATAGGAAAATCATGTATTTTCTAAAGATAGACACAAAAAATCAGACAAACTAAATCATTTCTGAAGCGGTGGTGAAAGAAACAAATGTTCAAATCATTTCTTATTGCCAACACCAAGCTTTT